CAGATGGTGATCACATGACCCCAGGACAGTGCAACTGTCATAAATACATGCCAGTTGCTAAGTCTCCGAATTTTGATCACCTGGCCATGGGGATGCTACAAGGGTCATAAGTTCAAAAAGCAAATCATAAACCACTTTTTTCGGTGCTGTTGTAATTTTGAACGGTCGCTAAACAAATGGTTGTAAGTCGAGGACTACGTGTGCTTTATGCAATCCTCTGCTCTTTCCAGCAGAGCCAAAAGATCAGCCTTCAATTAATTTGCCGTTAGACACCGCTTGTTCATCTTAGCCTTAGAAGAGCATGCCCTTTGCTATGATTTTTATATGCCTGCCCTTTATATAAAGGAGGTGAGTTTGGGTTTTTTGTTTCCTTTCTGTCTCTTTTGAGTGTTACATAGATACTGTTTATCTCTATGGGCCTGTTGATGGCCACTCAGACAAATCGCAGACGAACAACATCTACGTACTCTTCAAAAGAGACAGTGAAAAAGCCAAAAAGGAAACGAAAGACCAAAACATCTCCTTGCCGGCAAGCAGCACCCAGATAGGCTAGAGCAGTGGTTCTCAACCTGTGGGTCGGGACCCCATTTGGGGTCGATCGACCATTTCATGGGGGTCGCCAAGCAAGGCTGTCCGCCATTTTTTTTGTCCGCCATTTTGTTTCCCCTTTTCCGGCGGGTGCCTACCTCCCTTGGGCTGGGCCAGCTGGTGGTCGGCCTGCTCCGTCTCTGCCGCTTGCCAGCTACACCTCGGCCAGCGCAGGGGGCGGAACCACGCATGCGCGGCGCTCCCGGGCAGGGAAAGTCCTTGACTTACGACCGGTTGGATAGTCCTCGACTTATGACCGGTTTAGTCCTCGACTTACGACCGGTTTAGTCCTCGACCTACGACCGGTTTAGTCCTCGACTTACGACCGGTTGGGGTCGCGGCATTAAAAAGGTTGAGAACCACTGGGCTAGAGATTACTGTTAGCACCAAGGTTAACACTAGACCAGGGCTTTTCAACCTTTTCACCCATTGTACCACTTTTAGGATATGGCAACATCCAAGTACCACCAGTCACCTAGCAAGGTGTCAAAAACTTGACCCCAAAAAAAGGGAAAAAAGTGATAAAGTACAGGTAGTCCTCAATTTACAACAGTTCGCTTAGTGACTGTTCGAAGTTACGATGGCACTGAAAAAGGTGCCCCCCAAGCCACAGCCGAGCAAGACACCTGCCTGCCCACCCAGCCGCACTCTTCCTCCTGTCCAAGGTTTTCATTGTTGTGAGCATTTCTGTTGAGGATTGGCAGCGGGGATGGGGTGGGGGGTGTTTGGTTTTTATCCCCCCCATCTGCTGGGTGGTTGCAGCAGGTTTCGGTCACTTCACATGACCCTAGGACATCATATATATGAATCAGTTGCCAAGCATCTGAATGTAAATCACAAGACCCTGGAGATGCTGCAACATTCCAGCTGATCGGCGCTTCTTCTGGGCTCAGCAGAAGCACCAGGATCAGCGCAGAGCTCCAGCTAGATCCTGGCGCTTCCACGGAGCCCTGACAGCCCCGAAGCGCCGATCAGCTGGAAAGTGGCACTGATCCTGGTGCTTCCACTGAGCCCTGACCGCCCTGCAGCTCCAGCCGTCTCTCGCTCAGGCTTGTGCGGTGCTGCCACCGGTTCAGCTCATTCCCCTCCCCCGCTACCACTTTTCTAGGATGGTCGCATACCACCTGCCAGGTGCCAATGTACCACAGGTGGTACCCGTACCACTGGTTGAAAAGCCCTGCACTAGACCAGCAATCAAGAAGTTAACAATACACCAATCAAGGAACTACTAGTGCAGGCAAACAAACAGCAGTAAACAATCCCAGGCCAGAGCCACCCAAAACAGTCCCACCACATTGACAGGGCAAGCAGTGTATATAAAATGAGAGCAACCCCTACTACCCCCGTATCCCTGAAAGTAAAGCCTACCCCGAAAATAAACGCTAGCTTGATTTTTTGGGGGGTGGGCTTAATATAAGCCCTGCCCCCAAAATAAGCCCTAATTTTAGGGTGAGGCACATACCTAAAAATCAAGCTGGGGTGGGAGAGTGGATCTGCCCCACGCACCCCACACCCACTTACCTGGCAGCCAGGCCTCTCCTCACCGGCCCACTTCTTCTGAGGCGACTTCTGCAGCCAGGCCTGCATTTCTGGAAAGGCCACTGCAGCCGAGAACTAAGCTATAGATTGAATCCGTAGCTCGGTACTCCTCTGCATAGGCCTTCCGGAAAGGCCTGACTGTGAAATGCAGGCCAGAATGCAGCTGCAGAACTTTGGCCCCAGAAGAAGTGGACTGGCTGGGCAGGTCTGTTGGTGCAGGAGGTGAGTAAAAAAAGACACCCCCCGAAAATAAGACCTGGTGCCTCTTTTGGGGGCAAAAAAATAAATAAAAATAAGATCCAGTATTATTTTCGGGGAAACACAGTAGCACTGATGATGTTACCTAATTGGGTCTGCAAGAAAATCACCAAACTCAGAGAGCACCAAGGACCTCACCTTTTAAAATAAATCATATAGTAGGTAGTATTAGTCTACCTAACCTTTCTGACCATCGGATGGAGAAGAAAAGAGTAAGGGGATTATAGCTTCACCTTTCCACTGTTACTTCTGATGGAACACTTTAGCCTAGCCCAGGGTTAGGCAACCTTGGCCCTTTTATGACTCGTGGACTTCAACTCCCAGAATTCCTGAGCCAGCCATGCTGAGGGGAAAGAGAGAGATTTCCATGCTGAGCCATGCTGGCTCAGGAATTCTGGGAGTTGAAGTCCACGAGTCGTGAAGGGGCCAAAGTTTCCCCCATGCTGGCTCAGGAATTCTGGGAGTTGAAGTCCACGAATCATGAAGGGGCCATAGTTCCCCCATGCTGGCTCAGGAATTCTGGGAGTTGAAGTCCAGGAGTCATAAAAGAGCCAAGGTTGCGTACCCCTGGTCTAGCCAATTGCATTGGAATGTTCCAAATAAGGCTGTCTTATCCCAAATTTGAAACAAGTTTCCTTTTTTTCAGTCTTATGTGCTTAAATAAGGCATGGCATTTAGGAAGTCACTACTATGTTAAAAACATGCTGTACAAGAAGGTAGCCAATCCTATGTTAATGGGCAGGAAAATCCTGTTTGCAGCTAATCTGATGTTAGATATGTAAAAAAAAAATATAGTTTTGACTGCAAATTGAGTTACTGGCTTGGATGTTTTGCACAAATCATTTCAGACAGCCTTGGACATCAGACAGTCGGTGTTTGGCGGCAAAAACATCCATGTAGCTACAGCCCATGAAGATCTGGCGTACTCTTCTTACGTTCACCAGTACAGTTCGGGAAAATTTGATAATGCACTGTGAGTACTGTATTCATTTAGGGCCCAAGCGATTTTGTTTCTTTATTTCTGAGTCTTATTTCAATGTTAGAAAAGGTATGTTTTGCTGAGAATAGTAAATTTCAGAATTCATAATTTCTCTTTATCCTACATCTTTTCCCTGTTTTACTTTCTAAATAAGGAGTTATAAAAATATTCGGCCGCCATTTGTTTTTTTTTAGATTTTGAGACAGGTAGTCCTCGACTTACAACTAGTCTTTTTAGCAACCATTCAAAGTTACAACAGCATAGAAAAAAGTGGCTTACAGCTGGCACTCACACTTACAAGCATCCCCACAGTCACATGATCAAAATATGGGCACTTGGCAACTGGCATGTACTTACGACAGCTGCAGCACTCCTGGGCCGTGTCATTGCCATTTGTGGCCATCCCAGCCAGCTTCCAACAAATGAAGCCAAAGGGAGAAGCCGGATTAACTTAACGACTGCACGATTCACATAACCCCTGCACTGATTTGCTTAACAACCATGGCAGACAGGTCGTAAAATCAGGCCTGACTCACTTAACAGTTGCCTTGTTGAGCAGTGGAAATTCTCGTCCCAATTGCGGTCCTAAATTGAGGGCTACCTGCAAAACAGAATCGAGCTGTCCACGTTTTAAAATAAAAGATCTAAACTTTTTTTTTTTGTACGCCACACTTCAATTAACAAGATTTGGCACCTCCTCTGGGGAGGGGGGTGCAGGGCTCTGCTCTCTTACCCTTTTTTCAACATCTACATCACATTTCCATGCCCCGGAGATGGCAACCATCCCACTTCAACCAGCCGCCTGAGGTGCCACGTGGCCGGATATATCCCGGCACGGCTGGTTCCCCCCCCCCCCTTGGTTCCGTCCCTCCTGGCCTTGCATGCTTTACTTTTCCCAGGCACGACCCACTGCATCACCTCCTCAGCTGTCGGCCAGCTGTCCAGCTCAGAGGCGGCTTCTCTGAACTGCTGGCAGTGGGCTGTGGAGCCCCAGAGTGCGCCGGTCGAGGCTGCTGACAGACACCGTCGGCCCCACATGCGCTCACTGGCTTCTGTGTGCGGGGGCCGATGGTGTCAGGCAGCAGCTGCCCCGGCCCCTGCTTCACCTTGCCCCGCAGCAATGGTACCCCCACCCTGCCTCGCCTCGACTCACCCCGCAGGACGAGGCTCCTGCCCACCGCCCCACCTGCCAGAGACCCCCTGGATCTCCCCCTGCCCGGCCCCCCACAGGCATCCCTCCCCATGAGCAACATCAAAGTGACCACACCCACGCAGTTTGCCATGACCACCCCAGTGGGCCACATCCCACCTGGCACCCGGCAACAAATAAGTGGGTTTTGGGTTGCAGTTTGGGCACTCGGTCTCTAAAAGGTTCGCCGTCCCTGGCATAGTGCAGTGTTTCTCAACCTTGGCTGCTTTAAGACGGGTGGACTTCAACTCCCAGAATTCTGGGAACTGAAGCCCACCCATCTTAAAGCTGCCGAGGTTGAGAAACACTGGCCTAGTGAGTGAAAGGAACGGGAGAGGAGAGGAAAGGCTGTGTTTTCCACCATCCGGACCTATTCCTTGTTTCAAGTGGGAAAGTTGTGGCTTTTCACCAAGTCACACCGATGGGGCTGGCAAAGTTCCAGGAGAAGGACCAGGAGCTCAAGTGTTCCTCTTGCTTGTCTTTGATCTTTAGATTCCATGCAGAACGTGCGATTGGCATCATCACCCACATTCTCCCAGAAGATCACCTGCTCCTCGCCTCTTCCAAACGAGTTAAAGGTATTACCTGCCAGCTGGGTTTAGCTGTCATGGGAAGGAAACAGAAATGGCTTTAGAGAGAATTCAGCGCTCTGAGGAAACAGTGATAATTGAGATAAGAAAGACGCCTTTGTGAGTTCCTTGACAATGAGAGCTAGTTTGATCTAGTGCACGGGTTTTCAAACTTGGCCCTTTTATGACTTGTGGACTTCAACTCCCAGAATTCTGGGAGTTCAAGTCCACAAGTCATAAAAGGGCCAAGTTTGAAGACCCCTGGTCTAGTGGTTAAGGCAATACGTATGAAACCGAGAGACCATGAATTCTAACCTCACCTTAGACATGAAAACTGGGAGGTAAGTGAGTTCTAGCCCCACCTTAGACATGAAAGTCAGCTGGGTGACCTTGGGCCAATCACCAGGAGACAGTGAGTTCTAGTCCCGCCGTAGACACAAAAGCCAACTGGGTGACTTTGGGCCAATCACCAAGAGACAGTGAGTTCTAACCCTGCCTTAGGCATGAAAGACAACTGGGTGACCTTGGGCCAATCACCAAGAGACAGTGAGTTCTAACCCTGCCTTAGGCATGAAAGCTGACTGGGTTACATTGGGCCAGTCACTCTCAGCCCAACCCACTTCACAGGCTTGTTGTGGGGAAATAGAAGGATGAAGGAGTGTGTATGTTTGCTACCTTGCGTTACTTATAAAGTAATAAAGGTGGGATACAAATAAATGTCTCTTGGGAAGACCAGAACTGGACCCAAGGAGTGCCTGCTAAAAGGGCTGATTGTTTGAAGGCCTGTTAACATAGTTGAGGGGTAGTTAAGGAAAACATGTGGAAAGAGAGAGCTGGCTTAAAGCATTAACTTGAAGTTACGGGACAGCGAGATGGCTTGTAGATAACTTCCAAATCCTGGCTGCCAGGAATAAGAAGCACCCAGCCTTGTACCACATTATTTTCTTATAAAGTATTTTTAATGTTTCCTGAGAAATCTGTCGGAATAGGTTGGCACCCTTAAAGCGGCATCCTTTTCCCCCAGAACCAGAATCGTATCTCCGTAAGGGCCCAGCTCTCCCCAGACTGAATTTCTCCAGATAATTTCAAAATTTCCTGTTACGATCGCTGGTTAGATAATAAGCCATAGAAAGGATTTTCTTCAGACCTTCTAAAGAAAATGTATTATGTATCTGATAGCCCCCCCCCCCCCCCCGAGTCGCCTTATAGGAGACGTGGGCAGCATAGAAATTGAGTAAATAATACATAGCTAAGATCATCAGCCATCAAAAGAACAACCAGTGCAACTCTCCTATCAGTGCTTTCTTATATTATACATTACAGGTAGTCCTCAACTTAAAACCATTCGTTTAGTGGCGGTTTGAAGCTACAGCGGCACTGAAAAAGGGACTTACCACTGGGTTTTTTGCACTTAGGACCGTTGCAGCATCCCCAGGGTCACGTGATCAAAATTCAGACACTTGTCGACTGACTCGTACATACGACGGTCACAGTGTCCTGGGGTCACGCGATCCCCTTTTGCGACCTCCTGACCAGCATAGTCAATGGGATTGACTTTACAGCCATGTGTTACTAACTTAACAACTGTAGCGATTCCCTTAGCAACTGTGACAAGAAAGGCCGTGAAAATGAGGCAAAACTCATTTAACAACTGCCTCACTTAGCAACAGAAATATTGGGCTCCCTTGTGGTCCTAAGACCTTGTAATAATGCAGTTATCTGCGCAAAATATTCAGAGGGGAATCATCTCCGAAGTCTTTCTAACTGCCTGCCAGAAAGCAATCAGGGGGTTTGCCCGTCATTTTGAAATCATTTACAGGTAGTCCTCAACGTAATGACCACAACGGAGCCCAAAATTTATGTTGCTAAGCGAGACAGTTGTGAGGTGAGTTTTGTCCCATTTTACAACCTTTCTTGCCACGGTTGTTAAGTGAATCTGGCTTCCCCATTGACTTTGCTCATCAGAAGGTCGCAAAAGGTAATCACATGAACACCCCCCCCCCAGGACACTGGAAGCATCATGAATACGAGTCAATTGCCAAGTGTGACCAATTTGATCACGTGACCGTGGGGATGCTGCAACGGTGAAGAACAGCCATTTTTCAGTGCCGTTGTAACTTTGAACGGTCACCAAACGAATTGTGGTAAGTCGAGGACTACCTGTACTTGGGTTCCATCCATTTATTACGGTTGCACCTCTTCCACACTTAGCCTGGCAAAGAGGTTCCTTGAATCAGATGTGTCAGAGCGTGCACCATCTTATTGTGCGAGATAACCCAGGAAGTAAACACAGCAAACAGTGGTCTATATTAAATGGTGGTTCATCTTACACTATCTACCATATCATACACCAGGAACAATATACATGCACCTGCTAATACAGCAGGATCCAACACACCATGGTTACAGCAGGAAACGGAGGAGAGGAGAACACGTTAGCAGAGCCTTCTCTTTTTACCAGGGGTCCACAACCTATGGTCCGAGGCCCACTGCCGGACCGTGGCCACCAGGCTGCGGGACAGGCTGGCCAGTGCACACATGCATGTGGGCATGTGCGCAGCGCTAGCAGAGGAGGTGGCTAGCGCCTGCATTCCTGTGCAAACACGTCCATTCGGGTGCGCGGGTTGCATGCCCCATTTGCGCTAGCAGAGGAGGCAGCTAGCACCTCTGCGCCTGCGCAAATGGGGACCCTAGCACAATGTGGGTTGCGCGGCCTGTTTGCGCATGTGTGCAGCACTAGCAGAGGAAGCTAGTTCCTGTGCGCCTGTGCAAACGGGGCTACTAGCGCTTTGTGGGTGCACGCAGCCCATTTGCGCTTAGGCAAATTTCACAGCTGCTCCCTTTCCCTCCAGGCCGCCAGCATGAAAAGGTTGGTGACCTCTGCTTTATACAAAGGCTCTTAAAGAGACACAGACCCTGCTGAGTCATTCCCATTATTCTTACATTACATAAGCTGGTTAATTCTCACCGGCTCAAGGTGGACTCAATCTTCCTTCCTTCAGAGGTCGGTAAAATGAGGACTCAGATTGTTGGGGGGGGGCATAGGCTTACTCTGCAAACCGCTTAGAGACAGCTGTAAAGCCCTGTGAAGCGGAATATAGGTGCTATTGCTATTGCTAAGGAAGTTGACTGTCCACCCAGGCATGAAATTAAGACACACGTGCAAATTATGCAGGAGTGGACTCTGCTCAGGGATGAAGCAGGAAAAAACAATTTGGCTAAATAAAGGTACTTAAAAGGAAAAGGAAAATAAAATATAGGAATAGTGATTCTCTCTCTCTCTTTTAATATTCCCCAAAATATTTCATTCTCTCTCTCTCTCTCTCTCTGTTTGTCTCTCTAGCTCTCTTTCTATCTCTCTATCTCTGTCTCCCTCTGTCTGTCTGTCTGTCTGTCTGTCTGTCTGTCTGTCTCTCTCTCTCTCTCTCTCTCTCTCTCTCTCTCGGTGCGTCTCTCTCTCTCACCATGTCTGTCTCTCTTTCTCTCCCTCCCCTCCCCCTCTATCTCTCTTTATCATCTATCTATCTACCTACCTATCTACCTACCTATCTTCTACCATCTCCAGGATCTGTCTGTCTGTTTCTCTGCCTATCTATCTGCCTGCCTGCCTATCTCCTAGATCTGTCTGCCTTTCTCTGTCTCTGTCTCTGTCTCTGTCTCTCTCTCTCTCTCTCTCTCTCTCTCTCTTTCTCTTTCTGTAACCATGTGATATGTTTAAGATTTGTGCCCCTTTTCTGTTCCCCCTTTAAAGCGCTTATCCTGGAGGAGATTGCAATCGACTGCCACAATAAGGAAACCGAGCAACGGCTACTCCAGGAAGCTCACGACCTGCACCTCTCCTCTCTCCAGCTGGCCAAGAAAGCGTTCGGGGAATTCAACGTTCAGACAGCGAAACACTACGGCAACCTTGGCCGACTTTATCAGTCAATGAGGAAATTTAAGGTAAATCCAGCCTTATCGCAGCGGTGGGCGGGAATTTTGCTAACGGGCCTTTTGTCGTAAGAAACAGGTAGTCCAGACCGCTTTCAGTCAAAAACATCACAAATTGCAGTGATCCGGGATGCTGCAAACAGCCATCATTGTGTGGGCCAGTTGCAAAGTGCCCACGATGCAGTAATGTGTTTGCAAGGGGGGGGGCAGTGTGTTAACTTGAAAACTGGGTTCGAAAGCTTTGGCGGGTCCGTCATAACTTCAAATGGTTGCTAAGTGGTCGTAGGTTAAGGACTACCTGTATTTTCTTCGTAATGTATTACTTTGTAATAATATTTGCTAATTAATTTTGTCTTTTTTTTTTTGTATCACCAAAGCTACTAAACTTCATTGTTCACACAACTACAGGTTATAAATAAGATCATTGGTTTGATGTTCAGGTTTTCTGCATTCCTTGCCTGTTTGTTTGTTTTTTTAAATTAAGGAGCATGAAAATAACTTCTACTTCATTTTTATTCTTTCTTTTTTTAAAAAAAAATGCATATGATTTTTTTAATGGCTCCTAGATAAGAAGACCTGTTAAAATTATGTTAGGATAAGTCAGCTAAACAACCTGCTCAATTACAGGTAGTCCTGGACTTAGCAGCTACAATTGAGCCCAACATTTCTATTGCTCAGTGAGACAGTTGCTAAGTGAGTTTTGCCCCGTTTTACGACCTTTTTGCCACAGTTTTTAAATGAATGCCTGCAGTTGTTAAATTAGTCACATGGTTGTTAAGTGGATCCAGCTTCCGCATTGACTTTGCTTGCCAGAAGGTCGCAAAAGGGGATCAAATGACCCCGGGACACTTGCAACCGTCATAAATACAAGCATCTGAGTTTTGATCACATGACCACGAGGATGCTGCTATGGTCGTAAGTGTGAAAAATGATCACAAGTCACTTTTTTCAGTGCCGTTGTGACTTCGACCGCTCGCTAAACGAATGGTTGCAAGTTGAGGACTGCCTCTGTGTAGAACAGTGTTTCTCAACCTTGACAATTTTAAGGCATGTGGACTTCAACTCCCAGAATTCCACAGCCAGCAATGCTGGCTATGGAATTCTAGGAGTTGAAGTCCACATGCCTTAAAATTGTCAAGGTTGAGAAACACTGATGTAGAAGGAAGACAGGTGTATCGTTGAAATGGCATTATGGACCCAGCTGTTAAAAAAAGTCTTGATTGGAAGGAATAGTAGTGGCCATGGGAATTAAGTACACCTACTTCCTTCTCTCCACCTCAGTGCTTAATTTAGACCTTTTTCAGCCTCCCCAAGAATAGAATAAAGGTTCACAGACGTTCACAGCCAGAATGGATCAGGTTCAAATTCAGCCACTCCACCATATCTTCCAAATTGCCCCATTCCATCTCAAAATTCTTCGTTCGGCCGATTTCTCAGGTGCCCTCTTGTCTGAAAGGTTTTGAAGCTTGGCTTTTTGTTTTAAGATTTTTTAAAGAACATTAGCTTGTATTCTCAAGCAGGCAGAGACATGAGAAAAAAAAAATAGCCATTAACGACTCCTGCGTCAGTCAGTACCTGACCATTTTGGCTATTGCAGGAGGCGGAGGAAATGCACATCAAAGCAATTCAGATCAAGGAGCAGCTGCTTGGTCAAGAAGATTACGAAGTCGCTCTTTCGGTGGGACACCTCGCCTCGCTCTACAACTATGACATGAATCAGTACGAAAACGCTGAAAAGCTTTATTTGAGATCCATCGCAATTGGTGGGTCCTTTCTTTTAACTGTTCGGGGGAAGGGTGGAGATCGGGGGCCCTGGGAGTTCCTTGACCCTCATTTATAGAAAATTGATAGAGAGACAGACAGGTAGATACTGTATATAGATTGGATGGATGGATGGATGGATGGATGGATGGATGGATGGATGGATGGATGGATGGATGGATGGATGGATGGATGGCTAGGTAGAAGTCGATAGATAGTAGGTGGATGGATGGATGGATAGAAAGAAAGAAAAAAGAAAGAAAGGAAAGAAAGCAGGTGGGATGGATAGATAGATAAATAGTAGGTGGGTGGGTAAGTAGATAGATGGATGGATGGATGGATGGATGTCGATAGATAGGTGGATGGATGGATAGATAGGTGGGTAGGTAGGTAGGTAGGTAGATAGATAGATAGATAGATAGATAGATAGATAGATAGATAGATAGATAGATAGATAGATAGATAGATAGATAGATAGATAGATAGGTGGGATGGATATATAGATAGATAAATAGGTGGGTAGATAGATAGATAGATAGATAGATAGATAGATAGATAGATAGATAGATAGATAGATAGATAGATAGATAGATAGATAGATAGATAGATAGAAAGATAGATAGATAGATAGATAGATAGATAGATGATAGATAGATAGATAGATAGATAGATAGATAGATAGATAGATAGATAGATAGATAGATAGATAGATAGATAGATGATAGACAGACAGACAGACAGACAGATAGATAGAAAATGGATGGATGACTAGATAGACAGATTTTTATAGCCAGTTCAAGCAAGCCTGTAGGGAGATCTCCTGACCACTTAGATTCTCCTGGTCAGTGCATTTTAAAGCATTTAAAGTAGGATCCCTGATTTATAATTTAGACCTAAATTATTAACTGGTTAATCATTGGATGTAATTAAGGTAATTAATTAATATAAATTCCCTTTGAAGAAAGAAAGCAGGAAGAATCATGGAGGGCTCGGATTATTCTGTTTATAAGTCCAAACTTCCTTGGAAGAATCTGAAGGGGTCCGTTTCTAGAACCATTTATTCATACTCCCCAAAAACAATTTCTAGTTGTTGTTTTTTTAAAAAAAAAAATATTTCTGTATCTATAATTTTAAAATGCAGAAACTACACTTTAATACGGCAGCCTTTAATATGGTTCTTGGTTTTTTCCAATTTTGTTGTTTTAGGAAAAAAGCTGTTTGGGGAAGGTTACAGTGGACTAGAGTATGACTACAGGGGCCTCATTAAACTGTACAACTCCATTGGCAACTACGAGAAAGTATTTGAATACCACAATATCTTAGCCAACTGGAACAGATTGCGGGATCGGCAGTTTTCAGTCACAGATGCCCTGGAGGATGTCAGCACCAGCCCTCAGTCAACTGAGCAAGTGGTCCAGACTTTCCTGATGTCTCAGACCGTCGAAGGACCCGTTTGCTAAGGAACTTGGTCAATTTTACCAATTCTTGTTTCTCCCCTAAATTTACACGGGAAAAGTCATACTGTGAAATTCGAAACCATATGTATTTTTTTTTCTTTTTCCAACCCTCCTTTCCCGGAGCTGTTTTAAAAAAAACCAATAATAATAATAATAATTCGCATTGAAACACTGGTCCAGTCCATAAAAAAAAATCCCATTTTGGGGATGATGTCAACTTTTGATGGAGTGACCATAAGCCGGACGTGTGCTAAAATGCACGAGCATAAGCACAGCATATTATGTTCGGGTTCAAGGGGTGTGTCTGTGTGCGCGTGTGTGGTTCACAAACACGTACACACAAGCATGTGCGCGTGGGGAAAAAAAAAAGATCTCTAATAATCTTCTCTAATTTTTTTTTTGTTCCAAAAAGCCACTTTACAAGAAATTGCTGCAAAGACTAGAGAGAAATAAAACCATTTGACAGTTTTTAAAGAGTTGCATTCTTAATTGAGAAAAAAAAGGGGGCCAGTCATGTAAAACAAGGATTATTTCCTTTCTTCTTATTCAGTATTCGGGCCCTGCAGAATCTGGATGCAAAGGGGGGGGGGAATTGGATGAGGACTTGTGTGTAATCTCTTGTCAGAAACGTCTTTCCTCACACGGAAGTGGCGATCAGCTGTTGACCCACAGTGTTGGAACTAGATGGCTTAAGAAAGCCCTTGTCTGACCAGGCTTGCTCCTAAACCAGGGATAGACAACCTTGGCTCTTTTATGACTCGTGGACTTCAACTCCCAGAATTCCTGAGCCAGCCATTCTGAGGAGAAATGGAGACGTTTCCATGCTGGCTCAGGAATTCTGGGAGTTGAAGTCCACGAGTCATAAAAGAGCCAAGGTTCCCTCCCCCTGTCCTAGATCAGTAGTAGGCAACCTTGGCTCTTTTATGACTCGTGGACTTCAACTCCCAGAATTCCTGAGCCAGCCATTCTGAGGAGAAATGGAGACGTTTCCGTGCTGGCTCAGGAATTCTGGGAGTTGAAGTCCACGAGTCATAAAAGAGCCAAGGTTCCCTCCCCCTGGCCTAGATCAGTAGTAGGCAACCTTGGCTCTTTTATGACTCATGGACTTCAACTCCCAGAATTCCTGAGCCAGCCATTCTGAGGAGAAATGGAGACGTTTCCGTGCTGGCTCAGGAATTCTGGGAGTTGAAGTCCACGAGTCATAAAAGAGCCAAGGTGGCCTCCCCCTGTCCTAAA